GAAATCTTTTCAGGGACAAAGTATATTTTCTAGAAGTTCTGATATAGGGTCAGGAACAATTCTAAAGTTTTGGCTCGAACTATTACAGTACATAGGGTTACGGAGGAGCTCGTCACTGGCATCGCTTTAAGGAGCTCTTCTCCTGAACTCTCATCCTCACTTAGCGTTCACCTGCCTTGCCTGTGATGTTCCTTGTGATTGGTTGTTACTGTTGCTTTTTAGGTTCAGGCAAGCGTCATCTGGAAAACATTATCTTAATTCCTTCTCTTATGTCTTAAACAGTACATTTAATTAGGAAATTACATATTAAAAACTCTACTAACATCCCTTTCTGAGATGATTGTCCCATTTTTGTTCGTTTGTTTAATCAAGCTGAATTATTTCCACTTAGCCTTGTTCAAGAGCAAGTCCAAGCCTATAACCCATGACTGGTGTACCCATCCATGCTCCCTTCATAATGGGAAGTGTTTTGAAATTCCCAGGAGAAAGCTGCTTTGTAATCAGAGTGATGGGTTATAAGAAAGCCAGGCTTTGGATGAGGGTAATTGGAATAGAGGGAGGTGCTTAAAGATTTCCTAAACCACATTATGCCATTTTGTTCATTTCTGAAAGGCCTGCTGTGGTGCCACACATTGAGCTCTGTCCGTTGATGATCACGCTTTCTTGGTAAATATTTAAGCAATTGGCAACCACAAAGGTATTCTTTCCTTATTCTATATCATGTGCTGATGCTGACATTACAAAGAGGGGTCTGAAAGGGGAACAGTCTTTTATTTAAAATACAAAAGTATCTCATTGCAATTGGTTTTACATGTTCTCTATCCTGAGAAATGCTGTCAGCCCCTCCTATGATTTCTAAGGTGAGAGCTCTGTACCAAATTGTTATTTAATCATGTCCTCTGAGTGGTTTTTCCTTTAAAATGCCATATTTACCACCCTGTTGAACTGAATGTGTTGCTGTGACACACAGATGATCCTGAGCTACGGTTCTCTAAGTACTCAGTCCTGTGTTTTTATATTATGTAACAGTTTTGTGATGCTTTTGTGCATTCTTTGTCTTCTCTTCCGAGTTTTGAAATCTGTCATAAATAAACTTTTTCACTGTGCACCTGAAACATTTGAGTTACATCTTAATGAACCTGATTTACGTTAAAATTTTTTTATTAATCTCTCCTTTGCATCTGAAATGAAAGGTATTCTGTAAACTTAATCTATTGAGGCTATACAAATTAAGAAAACTGACAATTAAGAAAATATTGAGAATGAGGTTAATGATAGATCTTTCATCTGCGTTTAAATTTATAGCAGAGTATTATGAACTAGGAGGTAGGTTTGGCCCAAGAGTGAAAAAACTGGTTTAGAGTAATGATTACTAAATAGAACATTATCAGGTTTTGTTAGTATTTGGTCCCCAGTGATGTTCATTTTCCAGTGAATTAAATTATTTACTCTGTTCAAATTTGGAACCAGTACTTCGAACACCAGGGTAATCATTAACTCAGCCAGGGCGGTATTAATTTAGCCTATTTTCACTTGCAAAATTGACACTATAAGCTGTCGTTGGCATCTCTTACAATGCTGCACATCCCTGCTGTCTATTTCAGAATTTGAAGGACTCACATCTGAGCAGAGAGGGGTGCCGTTTAAATATTGCCTACTATTAGTGATATCTGTGGTTCCAAGATGAGCTTGTTCCATCTTTCCTTTGCTACATATTTTAGAGCAGGGGTCCTCAAACTACGGCCCGCGGGCCACCGAAAACATTTATCCGGCCCGCCGGGTGTTTTTGCCGCTGCTGTGTGCATAGGAATTTGTTCATAGTTTTTTTTTAAACTATAGTCCGGCCCTCCAATGGTCTGAGGGACAGTGAACTGGCCCCCTGTTTAAAAAGTTTGAGGACCCCTGTTTTAGAGGCTGTTGTATCAGGAGGCAGAGATCCTAAATAATTGTGAGTTAAATGATATAATCTCACCACCAAACTACTCTGCAACCAATAATAAGAAGCCCAGGCAGACTGTATGTATGAAGGATCTTGAATGCATTATGTTTGGGTATGTTGAATATGTCACTGTGTGAAGATTTTTTGTTTTTAATCCTCACCCAAGGATATTTTTTCCCATTAAAAATTCTTTTAGAGAGAGTAGAAGGGAGGGAGGGAAAGAGAGAGAGAGAAAAAAACATTGACATGAGAGAGATACATCAATTGGTTGCCTTGCACGTGCCCTGACCAGGGCCAGGGATCGAACCTGCAACCAAGATACATGCCCTTGACCAGGAATTGAACCTGTGACCGTTTGGTCCATGGGCTGACGCTCTAATCTCTGAGCCAAACTGCCAGGGCTGAAGATTATTTCTTAATTTTTAATGGCACTCATATCTGTCATATCATTGACCCTGACATAGTTCAGGCTTATATAAGGAAGCTCACACACTGCAACTCTTGACCTTCAGCTGATGTTTTTTAACCCGTGAGGTTCTGGCTGTACTCGGCAGCTTAGTCAGGTATCCTCACAAAGGGGAATGATGCCTGCTGTGACCTTGGAATCAAAAGGTAAGTAAGTTGTGTTTAAAGTTAGGAAGAGCCAATAAAATGAATACTTATCTTATGAATGTGTGTCTCCACCTGCTTGCCCAGTCAGTGTACTATTTTCCTTAATGGATATGTAAAAATTGCTTTGGAACAAAATCCTGTATTTTTGGCTTTGTTCTCAAGTCCTCGCTGCTTTCATCCTTCTAAAGTATTTGCCAAGACTTAACTACTTCCACCTAATTGCCAGTATCAGGCCACCCCAACATCTGTTGTTCATCCCGTGGCCACACACACTGTGGGAAGACTGCAGATCACGTCTCCCTGTGGCCTCCCAGGCCAGGATCAGGTGCCTGCTGATTGTTCTCCACAGATCTAACAACTGATGTGGACTTCTACCACTCGCTCGGCCTTTGGAGAGAAGCCCCTACTGGAAAACATCCCTTAGAGGGGTGATAGTTTTGGATCAAGAAACACATTCGCCCCCTGAAAATTAGAATTTATCTGCAGACTGGAAGGAGTTGAAGAGGAGGTAATAATCTTCAAAACACTTTATAGAAGCTTAATTATCGCTAAGTCTTGGAGCCGTTTGGTCTGACCTCTAGACAAAAGTCTATGCACTTGGGGAAATATTTGTTCCTTCATGATCTTCTAGGGCCCCGAAGGAGGAGAGAGACCTGCAGGGAGGCCACCCACGGTTGCACAGGAAGGATATCTTTCCTTTAACAGACATTTATGGAGCAAAGCTACACCTTGCTTGGCACTTGGGTAACAGAGGGGAGACAGGTGTGCAGCCCTAGAGGAGCTTGGGGGAACGCCACCCTCCTGCAGGGGAGATGGTGCAGAAATGCTTTCTTGTACCCCTAAAGCACAGCTAAGTTCTCTAGGGGCAGAGAGGTTTCTCTCTCCCATGAAGCCAGCCCCAGGTTCCTGAGGATGGCTCCCTATGAGGAGGGCTGGAGCCAGCGAAATCTCAGATCTCCAGCCGAGCAGCTAACCATGCTGATGACCTGGACTCCATGGAAGTCCCAGGGCTGGCAACACATGATCATCTCACTCTGCCTCAAAACTGCAGGCCCAGAAGTCAGGCAGACTGCTCTTCTTTCTCATTAGCTGTGGTCATTCGGTGAGGCACAAGCTGGACTCATCCCATTGGTCCCCTTCTTCCCCCAACACACACTGCTTTTCCATCCTAGTTGATCCTAAGCTGGTGGCTCCCCTGGACCTGCCTTCTGTTTGCAGCCCTCCCAATTCCATCTCCCCAGATCCCCTCACTTCTCACAGCCCTCGTCCCTGAAACCCACAGGAGACATCAGAAAAGTTGTTGCAGGCCCCTGAGAACTGAGCTGGTCCTGGGTTGGTTCTCTCCTTGGTTCTAGGTGAAGAAGGCAGCAAGGGTGGTCCCAGCGCTGGCCTTGAGACCAGCTTGTGTTGCTACGGACTGGGGGAGAGCTGCCTCTACCAGGACAAACTCATCTCAGGAACTAGAGTGGCCCACTTGGGTCATTCTAGAGTCTGGAACCCAGGTTGTCCAAGAGAGAAGGAGGAGCCCCAAGGAAGCCCAGGATGAGAGAGAAGAATTAGATCCCTGGGGTTAAGGCTGAAGAAAAGGGACTCATGGCTGAGAAAGGTGGCTTCCATTTGAACCAGACACATATATCTTAGTTCCCTATTTAAACCTCAGCCATGCAGGGGAGATGCAATCGCAGGTATGGGACCCCAACCTCCCTACAACATCTCTGCCAGGTGGTGATCCTGGTTGTGCTTGAACGTTGCTCAGCATGGGAACCAAAGGCACACTGTTACCTGCCTGGTCTCCTGAGCTAGTCTGGTCGGTAACTGTTCACACTGCCCATGGAGGAGGCTGCCTCCAGTTCTCGGACCACTCATTCATGACTGGACTTACCCTCAGTGCCTGATCCGGGATTGGTCCAGAGAATGCTGCCTCTAAGGTGAGGGACTGGGCTGAAGGGCACTTCCCTGTCAGTGCTGGAGTGGGACCCTTAAGGGTGCCATTCCGAGTCCTGGGAACTCAGCTGGTCACAAGTGCCTTCTTCCCTGCTGCTTCTTTTTTTAAAATATATTTTTATTGATTTCAGAGAGGAAGGGAGAGGGAAAGAGAGGAACATCAATGGTGAGAGAGAATCATTGATCGGCTGCCTCCTGCCTGCCCCTGACTAGGGATCAAGCCCGCAACCTGGGCATGTGCCCCGACTGGGAATCGAACCGTAACCTCCTGGTTCATAGGTCAACAATCAACCACTGAGCCATACTGGCTGGGCTTTCCTGATTATTATATCTCTTCTCCTTGGGATCTTGTCTGACTCTCTCAGGCAATCTTTTGGGCTTAGGTCCCAGGGGCCACAGGGTGGGCAAGGGGCTGGTGACTTCCTCTCCTGGTCCAGGCACGGGAATTCCAGCTAGAATGTTCATCTTCGGGAACTGCCTTAACCAAAACCTGAACATCTCAGTCTTAATGAACAACCAGGAGCCCTGGGCTTCAGTTTAATGATCAAATTGCAGGGTGGGCATTCTTTGGAGTCAGGTACAGTAGAGGGTTTGGGAGGTGGCACACAGACTTCCTATGGCTCTCCGGTAAACTTGCCAGGCAGTTCAGTCTGCATTCTCACTTCACCTTAATGACTGCACCGTGACTTAGGGAGCAGGTAATGTTCCTCCCTCCCTCTCTCCCTCCTTCCCTCCCTCCCAGCATCCTCCCACCCCATCCTGACTGCATTTGACAGATGAGGGGATGAAGGCAGAATGAGGTTCAGTGTTAAGGCAGATCCACAGCTACAGTTTAAGTTCAAGGGCCAGGAGTGCAAGTCTTCTGCTTCTCCAGTTAGGGCTTGCTCATTTTCAGGCCTGTTCAGCCCGCCCAGCTTCTGCTCCTGCACCAGTGGGCATGGTTTGAGAGCTAGGCCCTCAGCTCCGGGGGCGTGTCTGGCTGCCGGCAGGGGTGAGACACTTGGAAGGCCTCCAGGGCCAGCAGTGCCTTGTTGATACGGCTGATGGTAGGGTAGGGAGTGAGATCCACCTTGTACCTGTGGCAGAGAAACACCCACCTCAGGCAAGGTCAGCAGGGGTACGGGAGACTGCCCTGTGGGCGGTGAGGGCAGCACAGAGGCAGGGCTGGAGGAGGCCCCAGGGGCTGGCCAGGGAAGGGCTGGGAAGGTGACCCTGCAGGTGGAAGGCTTATTCACAGACAGCTCTCTGGGGAGGGCTAGCTCTTATGCAGTATTGTCTGATGTCTCTGTTGCCTACCGTTCCTATTCCAACCAATGGCTATTTATTGAGAACCTACTATGTGTAAGACACAGTGCTAGGCATTTATAAATGGAGATTGTCTCTCCACCCGAGTCATAAGCTTCCAGGGGGTAGGGAATGGATCATACATTTCCGAATCCCTAAGGGTCCCCAATGCAGTGCCTTCCACAAAGTGATTCCCATTCATGCTTTCCTGAGGGTTGATGGGGGAAACAGAGGTGGAGCTCACACAGACACGGCATGTCTGGGATAGCAGGCTCTGGGGGTTTCCTCTAGGGGTGTCCACCAGGTGAGCCGCCTCCTCTTAGAAGGAGGGGCTGGCTATGCAGGATCACCTGGACTGCAGCTGGGACCGGGAGAGGATGCTCCACTGAAGACCTCTGCCTGTCTCTCCCAGGCCACAGTGGCTCGTGTGGCCTGGCACAGGGGCCAGCCAGGAGGGTCTCTGCGTGAGATGTTACCTCAGTAGCTGAAGTGGGGGTGGAGGGGCCGACTATGGGAGGAGGCTGGGCACTTGGAGGGGAACAGCCAGGACGAAGAGGGAGGGTGGCAGAGTCCTCGCCTACCTTTCAGCATTTGCCACCTGAGGCACTAAGCAGAGGTCAGCCATGGACACCTGAAAGAGAGTTGGGTGGGTCTGCATCAGGGTGTGCACCCCAGACTCACAGGCAGGGAGGGTGTGTCTATTGGTGACAGTACTGGGGTGTCAGCCCTGAGGTTCCCATTTGCTTCTGGCTCTTCCATCCATCCCCACTGCCCCCTCCCCATCCTTGTCTTCCCTGGGCCTGTTTGGTCTGTCTCCAGAGCTGAGGACCTTGCTCCAGTTGCCCTGACAACCAATTCTGTGGGTGGCCAGAGAAGTTCTGATGGCCTTAGTGGATGTACTGTGCTTGTTAAGGGCCATCATTGGCCCTCAGTGAGGGCTCCCAGAATGAAGGAGATGCCTCGGGGGGAAGAGGGGCTAGAATGAGAATTATCACAGGCCAGGGCCTTAGCAGTAGGAGTCAATGGCATTGAGCCCTAGAACCTCAGGATTGGGAGGGAAGGGAGACATCATCTACTAGTAGTTTAATCCCTCATTTGCTGCCTAGACCACCTCCTTATCTCAGCGTGAATACCTGCAGGAATGAGACTCCCTTCCTGCTGAGGCAGCTGGCTAGGAATGAGCAGAGGAGCTCCCCAAGCTCCCTTCTGCTTGGCACAGGGAGGACCACCTCGCTCTCTACTCCTCTCCATCACCCCCCACCCCCCGCCCTTGCTGAGCCTGCCCTGGGGTGGAGGGATGGCTTAGTCTAAGTGGGAGAGGGTCGACATGAGTCAGGAGGCCGCTGTGGGCAGGCCTGGGGGGGCTCACCTCATCTCCCACGCAGTATTTCCCCGCTGTGCTCTGCAGGATCTGCTCCAAGGCTGTGGGGGGACACGAATAAGCTTACTCTGGCACAGAAAGGGGAGACTGGCCTTTCTGGGCCTTGGCCTCAATAGTTCTGAAATGGGCGGGATCTGAGTGACAGGCTGGGGCACATGTGCTGGAGGGAATTTGGCAGCCGTGTCTAGAGTGAGTTGGTAGGGACATGGGGATGAGATGTTTCCCAGCTACTGTTCCCGGAGGTGAAAGGCCTGCCACTGGCCCAGGCAGCAGCTCTTACACGCACGGGCTGGCACTCTGCTGGCCTTGGTTTCCTGGTTGGAGTGGAGTGTGAAGCAGAGGTTGGGCCATCCAGCTCCAAAGGGCCTCAAGTTCTGAGCTTCCCAGAGGTGGAGGCCAGGTTTGGATGCGGCCCAGCCCACTGCCTCCTCAGCCCTGCCCCCCACCCTCATCCATGCCACTGTCAAGACCAAGGAGCCTGGAAAGCTGTTTCAGATGCTCAGGACCATGGGCATGAGGGCCGTTTCTCTGAGAGGAGTAAGGACTCACCGTTAAAGCCAGAACTGATGGCCTTCTGGGCCCAGGCCAGCTGGTTTTCCTGTCCTACTTGCTTCAGGATAGACAGGTTCTGTGCAGCCCAAGGAAAGCCTGTGATTGGTTTTGGGAGCCAGGCTGGCCTGCTCAGCCAAGCCCCCCAGGAGAGCTTAGTTCCCAAGTGTCCCTGGCTGTACCTGTTCTTCTCTGCCCCAAGACTCTGTGAGCCCTTTCCTGCTATCAGGGCCCCAAGGTTAAAGGGGTTGGGGTGGGGGCAGTGATCTCAGTAACCACCTTCTCAGGCTGCCCCAGTGGTCCCTGTGGTCTGGAAGCCTGTGACTCTGGTAGAGATGTGCAAGGGTGGGGACACAGGACACAGCCATGGCTGCGATGGGTGTGGCCATAACCCCAGCATATCTCCCTTGCATCCCTTCTCCCATACATGGTCCCTTGTGAGGAGTGGAAGTAAGATATGGAGGTGGGGTGGGGGTGGGGAAGGCACATAGGACTGGCTGTCAGGAGATTTGGACTCTGGTTCCATCCTCACACCCCTGGAGCCATTTCACTTCTGGGCTTCAGTTTCCTCATCTATAAAATGAGGATGACTGTCTGCTACAACCTCCTTTGTTACAAAAAACAAAGGGACATGGGGGTGGGGGCACAGGTGCACAGCCACGGTCCTGGGCTCCAGTCCTTGCTCTGTCACACTTAACTGACTGACTGCAAAGTCACTCCGCCTTTCTGGGGCTATTGCCTATTTGCAAAGTCAGGGGTTAGCACAGATGAATTGTTGTATTACCTTTTTAAAAAATCAGTGATGACTTTACAAAATAAAAATCTTATGGGAATCCCAATCTATTTTACCAAACAGATGAAAGGGAGGCTGCTCTGGTTAAAGGCAGGCGGCCTGGGCTCTGCCGCTCAGACTCTCTTCCCCTCTCCCCGCCCCCTCACCGGGCCCCTCCCCTTCCACACCTCTGGATGCCCAGGGCTTCTTACAGTGCGGATGGGGACCCAGCAGAGTGGGTGGTTTCTGGGATCCCTCCCATTCCCCTGCCCCACCATGTGATCGAGTCTAAGTTCTCGAGAATCTCTCCCTGTCCTGCCACCTCACACCCAAGCTGGGCCCCTAGTGGGCTGGCCAGTCAGCGAGAGAGTGCGGAACACCAGTGCCGCACCTGCAGGGGCTGGATGCCGCCAGCGATGAGGTCGGAAATCATGCGCACAAGGACCCTCTTCTTTGGGTCCTGAGGCAGGAGCCGCGGAGTGGGCCGAGTCTCCTCCAGGTACTCGATGATGGCCAGCTGTCCAGAGGGAGCAGTGAGGGGAGCAGGAGAGGGCCCAGGGCCCCTGGACCAGAGGGGCAGGGCCTGCAAACTCCTCCTCCTCCCCCTCCCCTCCCCTCCCCTCCCCTTCCCTCCCCCTCCTCCTCCTCCTCCTCCCCTCCCTTCTTCTTCCTCCTCCTCCTCCTCCTCCTCCTCCTCCCCCTCTCCCTCCTCCTCTTCCTCCTCTTTGCCCTACTCAGCTTGAAGCCTGTAAAGCCAAGAGGCTCCCTGTGGGGGATGAGCTCTTTTTGGACCCTCATCCTGCAGAATTGTTCTCCCTATGCTTGAGTCTCCCTTCTCGTCCCAAAGCAACCAGCCAACCTTCCTCCCTTTAACAAAGATTTATGGCTGTGGCGTTCCTACTAAGAGCTGGGTGCTGTGGCCACACACAGGCAAGGATGAGCTGTGAGGCCCTCTCTTTCGGGGTACCATTCCCTGGAGGGGCCTCCCAAGCCCTGCACTCACCGACTGGCCAATGGTGATGCCATCGATCTTCAGGGCTGGCACCTGCTTCATGGGGTTAAGTGCCTGGAATTCTTTGGAGAACTGTGGAGAGAGGGTCCTGGTGGGCTGGGTGGGCTGGCCTGAGTTGGCTAAAGCAGAAAGGCCCCAGGCCTGCTGCCCACCCCCGCACCTCCCTCCCCTGGGGAAGGCCCTGGCTCGAAGGCTGGAGGTGATGCCTAGCTGATCTGTGCAGTATCCCAGCCTCCAGTGGTTGCCGAGCTCCAGTCGTCATCCCAATGGCCTGTACATGAGCCCCTCACACACTGGCCACCTAGGTACATGCAGAGGGCCCAGCATGGGGCAAAGACACACTTGCTACCCACCCTCCTGGGGTCAGGCACTGAGAGGCCGGGCTGTGGTATGGAGCCTGAAGCCTGGGTCCTTCCCATGGCTCCTCTGGTTGCACAGCTTGCCAGCCATTCCCATGAGGGAGAGCCAGCAGCCTCTTCTGCCAGGGGGCCTCTGCACCCCCTGCTGGGTTCTCCAAGGCCTCCAACTCCCACACTGTGGCCAGGGGCAGCCTCCTTACCTGCTGGCCCCCATCCTTTATGAGGTTGATGGGCACTGTTTCATAGTCGATGCTCTTCAAGGCCAGAGCTAGGAGAGACAGTAGAGTCAGGGGACAGCCTCTGGCTCCCAGGGCGACATGAAGCTGCAGGGGGAGGCTCCTTTCTCCATATTGCTAGGCAGTCCGGCTTCCTTGGGCACCACCCACTGCCCCAACCCAGGTCCATGACACTCTGCCTCTCTTGCCCTGGCACAGTGGGCGCAGGAGGACAGCAGGGAAGTGTCCTCCTCGCCTCTTCCCCCTCCAGGGCCTTTAACAGCGCGAGTAGGGCTTTGTGTTGGAGACACGCAGTTATTCCCTCATGAGGCCTCTCAGGGCCAAGGGAAGGGGCTCACGTGACCATAGAGCACACACACAGGCAGAGGACACTGTTTAGAGAAGAAGCATTTTGCAATCCATTTTCTCTGCTCTGTTTACTGCGGATTGCAAGCAGAGCATCTGCTGTGACCCCCAGTGACCAGGCTTCCTCTCCATCCCCTCTGATGATTCCCCCTGGCGAGGCCAGGGTAGAAACCCTGTCAGTGCTAGTGTGTAGGTGTGTCCATGCACACTGTGCATTAAATATGGTGATGGCTGGTCTCAGGCAAGGGCAGAGGAGCTAGGAGCCTGGGAGAGAAGGGGCTCCTCAGCACTGGTCAGCTCCATTCTGGAGAGTGAACGTGGTTGAGACCGAATGGGAGAGACCATGGCTGCAGGCCCTTCAGCCAGGGCAGAAGCTCTGGGCCCAGGGAAGGCATCTTCTTGGAGAAATGTGCCCTCTGGCCCTCCAGTGCCCTTCCCTACTGACTCCAGCAAATACCAAATGCCTGGGGGATGGGGGCGGGGTCATGGCGGGTGGCTTCCCAGTCAGGGCCAGCTTCAGATTTCATCACATCCATTTGCTAGCTTGTGAAGCTCTGGGCAAGTAACTTCCCGAGCCTCAGTTTCCTCATCTGTATCATGGGGACAATAATAGTACCTCCCTCCCAGGGTTGTCAGGTTTAAATGGAATTATGCACACAAAAGCACTCAGCACATTCTCCCTCAGCAGGAGCTGCTAGGACTCTGACCTTTGCCAAGGGCTGTGTTAAACTGAGGGAGGGAAGGATTCAGCTGGGGTGGACAATGGCCAGTTCTGTTTAATTGGCCAGATCAAATAAGATAAGATCTGAGGAAGGCCAGCTGTTTCCTGCCAGTTACCAAGGTCCTCTAGATGTGTGAGCCTGCTTTAAGCATGGTTGCTAAGGAGCTCTGGAGGGCAAGGTGGGAGAGGCATGGGCCCAAGAGAAAAAACAACCCTCCCGGCCTGGTACCCCGCCCCCCCTCCTCTGGTTGGACTTCCTAGGTGGAGATGCCATTCAGTGCTGAGGGCTCCAGAAGGGGATGCTGGTTGTTGGGGGGGGAGAAGACCTGTCTGGTAGAGCACCCCTCTGTCCCAGGCCATCTTTTTTTGTTTGTTTGTTAATCCTCACCCAAGGATTTATTTCCATTGATTTTAAGAGAGAGTGGAAGGGAGAGGGAGAGACAGAGAGAAATAGATGTGAGAGAGGCACATCCATTGGTTGCCTCCTGCATGCATCCCCACCAGGGCCCGGGAACCTGCAACCAACGTGCCCTTGACTGGAATCGAACCCAGGACCCTTCAGTTCATGAGCCGATGCTGTATCCACTGAGCCAAACCGGCGAGGGCCCAGGTCATCATTTTCACCTGGGGCTTCCTCCTCCCCATCCCATCCCAGCGAGGCTTGTGGTGGAGGCGCAGCTCTTACCGATTCGAACTCTCCAGGAGCACGAGCTTCGGAAGTAGGAATAGAGGATGGGCTGAGGAAAGAGAGGACAAGGGGTACATTAAGCCATGCGGTGGGTCCCAGCCCAGGAGCCCACTGGAGAGGAGGCCCCAGCCCCGGCCAGGGGTCAACGCCAGCACTGTGCTTCCCCATCCTGCCAGGCCTCCTTCCTCCGGCCAGAGGCAGAGCATCTGGGTCAGAGGCCTCAGGAATCCTGTGTAGTTCCTCAGCTCCAAACGGTGCTGTCGTGCATTCCTGAGGTCTGACAAGAACCCCCAAAAGGACAGCCAGCTTTCAAGGGCTCTCCTTACCTTGCCAGACTCAGTCATGGTGCTGTGGTGACCCTTGGCCTCCTGAGGAATGTCCCCTGTCACAGAGCAGCAGGGCAGGGGGAGGGATCCGGAAGGGGCAGATCCCATGAGCCAATGGGGAAGCTGTGCTAGGCCAGGGGGACTTTGACTCAGGTCTGAAGGGGCACCTTTTCCCAAACTTTGGGAGGTTTCTTACACTCCTGGTGGAGCCAGGCTTGGTGTCCTGGGCAGACAGGGTAGCCTGGTTTTGAGGTAAGTAGTTCAGGGGGTGCAGTAGGCTGGGAGCTGGCATATGGGGGTCTGATCCCCATGCAGGAACCAGCTCTGTATGACCCTGGACAAAAAATAGTAAACCCCTGCCTTCTCTATTCTGTAAAATTAAGAGCTGCCCTAAAATGATTATTTAGATTCCTTCCAGCAGTAGCAGAAAGACCAGGAATTCTAATTATTTTTTATCTTTTATTGCTGACAGTATTACAGATGTCTCCCATTTCCCCTCCTTTTGCTCCCTAGGAATTCTAATTCTTGATACTTTTGTGTCCATTGCTTTCAAACCCCCGACCCACCAGTCCTCCAGGCTATCAGCCGGTCTCATAAACATAGCTGGGGTCTATGCCCATTCACTCCAAAGCTGAGGTCGCAAACTGGCAGCCCAAGGTTCTGTTTGGTCTACACAGTTTTTAAAAATGTTTCAATTACACTTATCTCTCCCCTTATCTGAAGGTGTGGATTCAACCAAGTACAGTTGGAAAATATTCAGAAGAAAACATTACATTGTTATTGACGTGTACTATGTAGTCAAGCCTATGATAGCTGCTTTGGTTGGGTCTGTACTGAATATGTACAGACCTTTTCGCTTGTCATTATTCCCTAAACAATACAGTAGGGCAATTACTTACATAGCAGTTACGCTATGTTAGGGATTATACATAATCTAGAAGTGATTTAAAATATACCATGCTATTTTATATAAGGGACTTGGGCATCCTCAGATTTTGGTATCTGTCGGGGACAGGACTTCTGGAACCAATGCCTGGTGGATATCGAGGGATGACTGTAGTTGCCAACATTAAAAAATCAGGATGTTTCATATACAAATCCTGTTGTCTGTCTTTTCGTTATAAAATCTGGAGGCAGTGGACTTGGCTTCCTGAGCAGCAATTTATTGGAGCTAGTTAATGGCCCCCTTAAGTCAGGGGATACCATGGCCCCCACTTGGCCCACTTCTTTCTTGTTGTCCTCAGGCCTCTGCAGCTGAGTATGTGACCTCTCCTCTAAAGTTTAAGAGACTCAAAGATAATCCCTCTGGTGCTTCTTGGGTAATCTGCATTTCAAAGCAGGACCCAGGACAGTAATTAGCACGCACAAATGTCCTGGCAGACACATGTATGCACATGGATGAGGGAGAAAATAGAATTTTTCTACTATTCCTCTGACTACCGACATTTCACCCAAGTTCCCTCTCCCTTTTGCGTCCCCCAGCATATCAAGCTGCGATCTGAACCCGCCCGCATCATCCCTGAACTACCAGTTCTGTCCTATAGGTGGGCAAGGGCACCGTCATAACCCAGACCCGCCCACGTTGGTTCCTGAGCCAGGAAGTTCCAACCTGTACTGAAGGCACCTTTTGTCTTGGCACAGAGGGCAGGTGATGGGCAACGGGTGTCCTCAGAAGGGCAAGAGTTGGGTGGCTACAGCTGGATGTACCATATTCGGAGGTGCATCATTTTCCTTACTGAGCCAGACTAGAGAGGCCCCTGGGGCCAGGATAGGGACTGCTGGCGAGGGACGGACCACTAGAGAGTGGCAGGCGTCAGCTCAAGAACCCTTTAAGAAATGCCCTCCTGATTCCTAAATGGTACACCTTTGACCTGTACTAAGGGTGACCAGAGTCACTGTAAATGCCTCTGCCCTCAGGTTTTCTCCTTATGGGCCATCAGCTGACATACTGATGGGCAGTTTCCACTCTTTCTTTTACCAACAATTACACAAACCATCCCGTGTTCCTTTTCACACTTGCAGAGCTGAATTTTAAGCCCAAGTATCCATCCCACTACCACTCTGGGAGGAATTGTTTCCAATTCTAGTATAGATTCTGACCACTCTAGCAGATTTTATTTTTTAAATCCTCACCCGAGGATATGGTTTTCATCGATTTTTTAAACCATCATGACTTCAGAGAAAGACCCCTAAAATCCCATTTGGGACTGGGCGAGCTCTACAGTATGGAAGCGATGCTGTATCCCACCTGATGTGCCTGCCACCCTCCTTCGAGCTACGACAGCAGTTCTACGGGGGCGCGTACTAAAACCTGCAGATTCTCGGGCCCATTCCTCCAGAGAGTGACACAGGAAGCTCCTCAGGGGACTGGGAAGCGCCACCGCCGCCCCTCGCCCCTGATGTGCTCTCAAAATGCAAGCAACCCTGGAAGCCATATGTTAACTGTTCTCTCGGGCCGACACGCAGGGCTGTGCCGACCAGGCTGGCGAGGGACGATGTTTGGGATCCCGGGTAGAGGGGTGGGGAATCAGGCGAAGTGCGTGGGACAGGCTGCCCGACCCCACGGCAGGGCCCCACGAGGGTGCGCCGGGGCGGGCCCCATCCTCCCGGGACCACAGCCCCCATCAGGCAGCGCGCAGGCGCGAAGCGGGACCAGCGCAGCGCACTGCAACCTGGGAGTCGTGGCTGGAACTGTGGGCGGGGCCGACTCCCCTTGACCCCGCCCCCAGGTTCTCAGTGTTGGAGTAGCCAGCGCCCCTCTCCCCGGATGCGAGGCACAGACCTTCCCCACTTGCATCTCGCACTTCCGGCGACCCCTCGTTCAGGAAATCGCGCCTGGGACTTCCCGACTCGTCGACGCCTGAGGCCCGTGGGACACCGACACCTCGGAACCCAGGCTTCCGTCTGGGGAAAGCGCGGGGTTGGACTAGAATGATCTTTATGGTCCCTCCTAGCTCGCCACGCCCCAGGCCCGGCGCTGCTGGGAATTGCAGTTCCTGGAGCCCGTTTTCTCCCGGCCCGGCCCGCATGGCCCTCTGGTCCGTCATGCTCTGCGCCACTGGCCGCCTCCTAGCGGCCGAGTCCACCGCGCTCCCCGCCCAGCCCAGAGGCCGAGGTCCGCGCCCCGCTGCCGGCGCAGGGAACTACATTTCCCAGGGCACCCCGAGCTGCCCCTTTGTGGCTTCTAGGCAGGACGGCCAGCGTGCCCACGGGCCGGAGGGCGATCCTGAGGAGGGGAAGGATGCCGTCGGCGGTATGCGGAGGCCTGGCAGGGTCCGAGCTACGTCCTCGGAGGGGCCGCTATGGGCCCCAGGCGGCTAGGGCCGCGGTCCCGGAGGAGGCCGCTGAGGCTGCAGCGCAGAGCCCCAAACGGCCTGCTCCGGGCTCACGGCCCTCCGAGGCGGCCTGCCGGTGGGTCCTGCTGGCCCTGGTGACGCTGCTGGCCTTCGCCACCCGCTTCCATCGTCTGGACCAGCCACCTCACGTCTGGTGAGTGACGGGCGGGACTCGGCGGGTACCGTGGTAACCTGGAAGGAGGGACGCGTCCTCTGATTGGTCGTGGGGCACGGAGGGGGCGGGATCCACAGGAGGAGGGGCGGGGTCGCGCTGGAAGGGAAACTGAGGTTTCCGGTGTTTGCCCCTGGCTAATAGCAGTCTGAACCTTTGCTGTGGCAGTGGGATTCTTGGGATCTGAGGAAGCAGCCTGGATGCCTTCCAGGTTATGCTGCAGGGTCTCACCTGGCTCTCAAATTGTGGCTCTTAAAGAGCTTTCCAAGGAGAACCGGAAATCCTTAGTACTGAATTTCCTAAGGTGTGAGTTCCTGATCTGCAGAATTTCCAAGTTCAGTGGAGGGGGAAATTCTTAACTGGGTACCTTGATCCTTGGGAGCAGGGACAACTTGGGTGTCCCGGGATGGTGACAGGGGTTCTAGGAAGCAGATCTGGGGCCATCCTGTGAGGAGATAGTTATTTTCTGAAAGATTTTAGTTTGTAGAGTCAGTTGCAGGACTGAAATATGGTCAGATTTCATTAGATGAGCTTAAAACGTCGCCAGCTGGGAGGAGGAAAAGTTTTATACAATCTGAAGATGGTTTATTTGTTTGGCCAACAAGTGATACCATATTTTCTCATTATCACCGAGGAGAAAGTTAGTGTTGGGGTGTTAGAAATGGAACTCCTAAAAAAGCGAGCACACTAACAAACTGCTAGTTTGTAAGTTAATAAATTAGCTTGTTGTTTCATGAGTTTTGGCAGAAGACATGAGACTCCTGGGTCAGAGACAAAGGACATTTTACCACCACACAGGAAGCAGGATGAATAGTGGCATGTTGGAGTCCGTTTCCCTTGTCCCCGCAAGTCCCACAGGGTCATGCTCTGGGCCCAGATGGATGATTGCACACAAGTGGGTTTCTTTGCAGCTTTGAGGAACAACAGCTTGGGGAATGTACTATTTTATAGCAAGCAGTAAGCAAACTTACTTTTTGTCCTGATGAGTGACATTACCTCTTTAGTCAAGGTTGCTTGGTGTAAACACAGCTCTGAGATATGGCCCAGGTAAAGTGCAATCAGGGCCTTGCATTCTTGGCATACCCAGGAAGATGTGTGGACGTACAAGAGACTCACGGAGGATTATATCTCCCAATAATCTCACCCCTCGATCCTACACTGTCTTGGTTTCTAGCAAATTCTCACATGAATATGCAACTCCATTGGCTACTCTGATTAACTTGACTGACAGAGGCAGGAACCAGATCTGTTCAATTTGTTCATTTAATGAAGGCTGCTTTCATTTCTAAGCAGCAGGTTGAGGCCAACTTGTGCTAATCTCAACCATGTTCCCCAGGGTTCTAGATCCAACCACCTGTGAATAATTAAGTGTACAGATCAGGGGTGAGGAAAGGACCAGTAGGTCTTATTTTAGATAGCTGGGATATAATCTGACCATTCAGTGGTTGAGCGTCGACCTAGGAACCAAGAGGTCCAGTTCAATTCCCGGTCAGGGCACATGTGTGGGTTGTGGGCTCTGTCCCCAGTAGGGGCATTCAGGAGGCATCTGATCGATGATGCTTCTCTTATTGGTGTTTCTATCTATCCCTCTCCTTCTTCTCTAAAAATCAATAAAAACACATATATATTTTAAAAAGTCTGAGACCAGTATGTTATCCATTATGATCTCTGCACAGGTATTTAGACTGACTTCTAATCTTTGGTGTCATTGTCAATAATTACAGTGGGTCCTCCATTAAAAAAAAAGCAACTTTCATGCCCAATGGGAAGACATTCTGTGGCCCACTCTTCCTAATATATTACCTGAAGGGGTTCAGGCCACTCCAATTCAGGACTTTTGTAAATTTTATTTGGATCACCATGAAATTTGATTTAGATTGCATTACAGTAGTTTGGTTAAGCCACATGGGCAGTGAGTGTCACTGAGTTGTTGCAGCCTCAGTTGTTATACAAGGCATAACCTAAGGCCCCTAGAGTGTCAGGAGCATATGAATTTGTATTAGATTGAGAGAAGGTTGTTCCAGTTTGTGTGTTTGCACACATATGGTGTCTGTGTTTGGGAGTTGATACTATCAGGCACGTCAGAATAGTTCAAGATAGGCCACATCTACGTGAGTTTTTCTGATTTCATAGCACACTGACAAACTCAGTAGAAAGTCAGATTGCCAGCTACAGCTGCCACCTGATTGAGATGGACCATATGGATGTTTACCAGGCATTGGTTCTGGACCTAGAGGAGAAAGGATCATTAATTGTTTTCCTTTTCTTTAGGTTTCCTGAGGCCTAAGATGTTACCTTCCCAGCTTCCAAAATTGTTTCTTTTTTTTTTTTTAAATATATTTTATTGTTTTTTTACAGAGAGGAAGGGAGAGGGATAGAGAGTTAGAAACATCGATGAGAGAGAAACATCGATCAGCTGTCTCCTGCACACCTCCTACTGGGGATGTGCCCACAACCAAGGTACATGCCCTTGACCGGAATTGAACCTGGGACCTTTTGTCCGCAGGCTGACGCTCTATCCACTGAGCCAAACCAGTTAGGGCCCAAAATTGTTTCTTTTCTTCCTCTGCCATCATATAATTATATTAGGGTGTATCACTTTAGTACCTGTAACTTCACCTTTTCTCCAGGTATCCCTTATAATATCCAGACCTTTTTTTGCCAAGACCATTATTAGAAAATTGGCAGAGACCAGATGAGTCACTGTAGGGGGCTTGACAAGCAGTGCACTCAACCAAGTGGTCATTATCTTTATACTCTAGGACCATGTCCCTCCAGCTTCCGGTGACTAAACTAGAATTAAGTTTGTATCCCATAGATGTCCCTAGGCTGATCTGGGGTTGCTGTTAGGGAATCATGCCCATGAATGGTTTGGGAAGAATCTCAAGTTTTCAAAATAAGTTTATGCAACCCTCTACCCCTTTTATCCTTACCATTACCCAATTGGTGGCCAAGAGGAGGTGGACCGTTTCTGGTGCTGACTACATTAGGTGACAGAGCTGTTTTACTAAGGTGTGTGAACCAGGGGAGAGTAGAGTCAGAAATCTTTTTGAGAGGACTGTTCAGTCCTTGACAATATCAGGTGCCATGGATGCTAGGGAGTGTGGAATGTCATCAAATATCTTGACTATTGGCCCATTATTGGGTGGCCATTGCAAACAAATTAAAAAGGCACCATTGTCAGACTGTGGATGCTTTGGCTGAAAACATGACTTGGTTTAGTTTAAAGGTCCACATTGGTGTATCTTGAGTCAGATGATTGTACTGGCAGCATCATCAACACCGTAATCTGAAATGAGGCACCAATGATACTCCAGAGGGGTAACAAAGTCCTACTGTAGTCACTTTCCTTGGAGCAGTCAATGCCCCGTGCAATTGGCTTCCTTTACTGAAAGACTAACAGGCCAACTTTTGGCTGCACAATGCAGTGATGGCTTCAACTTCAGAAACATATAGTCCTTTACTTTGCACCCAGTCCACGATAGTAGATGTGTTTCCAGGCCTGGTGCAATGGCAGCAGTCTGTGGCACAAGTTTGATCAGCAGCTTAATTCCAGTCAGTCTGATCAGATGTACCAGCCCTGACCATGGTCATCCATGTGAGTGATCCAGGTTGTCCTATCAGTAGGCAGCATGATTTTCCCTGCAGTTCTTGGCTCCAAAGAGGGATGTTTTAATCTCTCAATACCTAGTCTTCCAAGTGGCACAACAGATGGCTAGGCCAATGGCAA